ATTTCAATGAAACATGTAAATGCTATTAAAGCTAGTTAATAAACCATCTTGGCCAATAGTTAATATAGATGAACGGTTATTATTATTGACTGAGCTAGTAAGTCATGAGAACTAATCAACACTACACTACAATAATACATGTGAGCATTATTTAGAAGAATGATAGAATACTGGATTAACATAAGTAAAAATCGGTCGATAATGATACAGCTAAAATGAGGAATAATAATAGGCCGTGTTTCATCACGCCAGGTTCACCAATGTAGAGTTACGGTCTACTTAGTTATTAGTACTGCTCTATTAATAGACCTAATCCTAAAACTGTAGATACGTCATGATGTAGCTGCCTAATCTATATGATCTTACGTGGAAATCACATCATTGTCTACACCAACTCATCGCATCGTAAAAATCACCAATATATAATAGATAACACACATAGACTAGAGATAGAACAGTATATTTAATATCAATAAAAGATCTTAAAAGTATATTTTGCTTATGAAAGCAATTAAACCATTAGAAATAAGATAGTTTGCAATAGATAGATACAAGGAAGTTCGTAAACCCTCAATTGACAAATAGACATCGTTCTACGAATCCGTTTGCATGTGAGTGGTAGGTGGTCGTTCAGAATCGTGTGATCCCTAGTGAGACAACAAAAAACTCCGGCATCAAACGGGCATCCACGGACTTTAGTGATAGTTGAAGAGCAGCTGAAGCTTGTTATCCACCGTTCGACGGAGTTGTGGGCCACTATTTCAGCAGTAGTGTTGTTGATAAATACTACTTCTGGCCACCATGTGAAACGGCCTACACAAGTTAGGAGATAAGAGTATCTATCCGAATCTGGTAAAGGTCCTGCCAAATCCAGATGAACATGGTCGGAACGAGCAACGGGAGTTTTGAAAGAGCCTAAAGGATCACTGTTGTGTCCAATCTCCTTGGATTTCTGACAGCTTACACGGGAGTGTGCTCACTCTTTCGCGTCTTTATTCATACTGGTCCAAAAAATTCGCTCTGCTATGAGCTTGATGGTTGTTCGAACACCTGGATGAGAAAGTCTGTACAATGTATTGAAGAAGTTGCGTCGATAATGTTCCGGCACGACCGGACGATCCCTAACTGTAGATGTGTCGCACAGTAAAGCTTCCTTACATTTTCCTATGTGTTTAAACGCAATTTCATAGTTGTCAAAGATAACTTTTGCCGAAGATCAGTGTCTTCTTTTTGAAGCTTGGCGAGTTTAAAAAGATCGATTCCTTGGAAACTGTTTAAGGACGTTAAACGAGACAAGGCGTCCGAGACTACATCGTTTGCTTCGGAAATGTGTTGTATATCTGTTTTAAACTGAAAAATGTAGTCCGATGCTCGAGACCCTAGAGAAGAGTACTTGTCTAAAGATGGACTTAAAGAGAAAGCAAGAGGTTTGTGATCGGTGAAAAGAATGAACTTTTCGTGCCTTAAGGTAACCCTCGTGCTATTGATAAAAGAAACCAGACAAGTAGTGAATAGGTCTTTATTTCGATCTTCGCGCAGTCACAGTGGAGCGTGGGATTATTTGTTCAGACAAACAAAGCCTCTCAACATTCAATATAAGTGATAATAAGAAATATAACGCCTATGCAAATTAAAGAAGTGAATGAATACTTGACCTGTACTGTTTAGGCATATGCTTGGTTGTTTGATGTCAACTCTTAACCAACCAACCTATGCTGTTACAAATTCTCGGCCTTCAGTTGAGTGTTGAAAGTTCCACACGGCATAATATAGGAGTTTCCTACCGAAAGTTCTATGTCTCTATCCGGCGTCTAGCAATCGTCTTGCGAAGACTGCCGAAGGCTGCCAAGTGTGGTTAACCTACTGTCGTAAGACTCCTCCGACTACCGAGTCGGATTCGTCTGCTGCGATACTAATGTGTGTTTTGTTGTCTAGGTTTGCATGCATAGTTATTCTTGCGATAAGTTCCTTAATTGTGGAGAATGCTTCTTCCGCATTATCATCCAAGTTGATGGGTTTCCCATTTCCACGAACTTCGAGGTTTCATAAGGGACAAGCAATTTTGTATTAAACTTACTAGTCCGTAAAACGTGCGTAGTTGCTTGATTGCGGTCGATTCCAGGTAATGAAGAATCGTCTTTTCAGAGGTTGGATGCTTTGAGCATCAATATTCTGTCCGAGAAAACCTAGAGAGACAGTGCCAACAATTCTGAAGCTTTACAGTAATTTCATGTTTTTGCAATCGTTCTAAAACAAATATCAAATGCTGGAGATGAGATTCTCTGTCCGAACTAGCAGTCATTTAAATGTGCGCATACGAATTCGAGAACCTGAAATACGTCATTGATGGATCGCAACAAGTTTTGTGCAGCATATCTTCAGCCAGAAAGCCTGCGCGAAAATTTGTGGAGTCCGGTGGGAGTGATGACAGCGGGCTTAGGTTCTGTGGCCATCGAAAATCGGCTATACGCTTTGATCTGAACAGTTTTCAGAAAAATAGTTGTGCCTTTTAAGGTGGCTATCATATCGTAAATGTGAGACAACAAGTTACGTAAGTGGTTTTCGTATTCAGTTGCCGATGATGACCAGTTTGATGCTAATCACTTTTATCCTTTTTAGGGACCATGTGTAAGGGAGATTTACAGGGGCAGTTCGATGGCCAAATACTTCCCAACATCAGCTTTTAGGATGCTAGTCTGTGAGCTTTCGAGAATACATGTAGTCCTATAGTCGTGATGTGTTGTGCAACATCGTTGGTTACAAACGGCAATGTCGGTCGCGTTTGGTACAGTTCAGGGTACTTACCTAGTATATTTTCATTGTATGGATAGATCGTATACCTTACTGTGACTATGAATTATATACAACCGGGAAAAGAAGTCACGCAAACAGATGAACTAGTATTTTCGTATATTAACCTTTCTTTACGCGTGTCAATTAGTATATTACGATGTTGTGGCAGGTCTATACCAATGATTGGCATAGGAACATCTGCAACAACAGGAATCCAGTGAATGAGTTTGCGTAAATCGAGATAAACACATCACTTACTATATGTGGCGATCAGTTTCCAATTTAACACCTGTAAGTTGAAAATCGGTTCGTGCAGTCGGTACTTAGATGTTGCTGGAGGTAGCAAACTTTCATCATCACATCAGTGATGTATAACAGACGGCTGCCTTTAACGTGTGATGATGAGGGAGTTTCGTGAAACCTTTCACGTGTCGTATGGTTTGGGGCTTGAGAAAGTGTATGGTTCCCTGCGATTTCTAGACGACTTACCACACTTATTGTTGTACTAATGTAGTGAAGGAGACACAGGTGAGGACAACCGAATGTATTTGACACAAAACGACAGAGCATCTCAATAAAATGTGAGAACTATATATTAAACCGTTAATTTGCAAAATGTCCACCAGTTGTCTCAAAATATCTCAGACTTCATTGTCCTTACATTTTCATACAAATTGCATTCTTTTCCCGCTCTTGCTTCCTTGATCTTCCCTCATCTTCTGCTTCCAGACATTACATTCCCGACTCATAATATACTACTCATATCAATATAAGTAGCACGCACCACACTAGCACCAATAAGATTTATCTACCTCTCGTGTTTTAGCGACAGATACTTTTCGTGACGACCATACTCGAATTTGAATATTTGGATAACCAGTCAGAGTGTGACACATGTTCGTAAATAATTTTGTGTTGAGGCTCTTTTTTAACAGAATAAACCTCGGTGTTGATGTTCTGGTGATCTTCGGATTTCGGTCGCTAGATAAATTCATTTCGTCTACAGCGCTTTTTCGGAATGTGACAAGCACTTCCTGAACCTTTTGGGGCCTAGACAAGAAAAGGTGTCTAAACAGTCCCTCGTCAAAGGTCCGTTGGTCAGTGACCTGATTCATCCGTAGCAAAATTTCTGTTACTGAGCAATGTTGCAGATCGATGCTGTGGAGTTTTACTAACCTTTGTCGATGGGTTTGGAAATGTATGGAAGAAGTGGATGTATAGCAGAGAGGAAAGCCTTGATTCGAATTGTTTGCGTGTAGTAAAGCAACTGTACATAGTACCCGTTCAGAAATTAAGTGTAATATCCTTCGCGCATATAAAACCCTAGCTGGTATACTTTCCGCATAATAACTAACTTTTGCCCCGCTCTTAATATGCAGTTATGTGTATCTCCCTTCCATTTAATTGAAGCTGATATTGTCTCTTATTCTAATACCAAAAGTGTATTCGTCAGTGTATAACGCCTTGAAATTGTTCTACATAGACTTAATACATAAGCTGAGGTCATAATAATTTTAACATACTTGAGCTTGTTGCCTACTGGACATATCTAGAAAACGTAGTCTTAAGATAACTATAAGTGAGCAGGGACATTGAGGCATTTAGAAGTGTCATAGGATCTTCGCCACATGACCCCTCAAGTTTAGCATAAAATAACTAGAATTTGTACTAGCTGTTTGATACTTCGTCAGAAAAATTGAACGTAGGGACACTTGACAGAGGCTTCATGACTCAAAATTCAGGCGTAGTCACTTTATCCAACCCCCTCATTTTATATTAAACAGCTGATAATTAGTACGCCACTTCTACGATAGAACGACCCAGCATAAGCTACTTGAAGGTCTTATAGACTAGGGAGTCGAAAGTACAAGGTTAGGTCGATGATTCTAGTAGCATAGATAGGTGTAATAATACTTCATTCTTACAGCCCAAACACTACTTGTTACAACACACAATAGGTACGAACAAAGTATCCCCGATATTTTCTACTGCTACTCATACTATTGCTATTTCTTTACCTGGAGGTTGTCGTGATCCCGCCGTGGCAACGTGGACTAATACACACACACCCAATATTCTGCGCCGCGTATGAATGACAGGTTGAGTGAGCTTTAGCGCGACCAACTAAATTTTGCCTAGGAAAAAAAATCAAATTCAATGTTACTTCATACTTATGATGTTTCCCTACATCTCTAGTTAGAAAACCATTCCAAAAATATAAAATATATTTTAACACAAAAGCGTTATCTAAAAATCAAAATAATTCTTGCATAGAAGTAATCATGAATCAAAATCAAGTTTTTCAGCTTGAAGCGTCGAATTTAACATTAATTCGGTGCCAACAGTTTGACAATAAGCCGCGAATGTTTAAAGTAGCTGAGCAGAATTCCGGTTGGGTGTTGTAAGAGCTATCAACAGCCGAACACACAAACTCTGCTTCACGAATATCTTCTGCAAAAAATAATTACAAAAAAAATCTATTTTAGATTACGAGACACCAGTGATTAAAATGACGGATAATTTTTAATTGAGCAATGCGAACAGTATGCATGAAATAAATTATTTTTAAATCGCTAGATTCCAAAGTCATACAGCATCACACCATTATACTGGTTCCGGGAACGTGATAGTATATAACCAAACCGTTAAACGCCGGCAGCTTCTAGTTTTAGTCCGAAATGTGGAAACTCTAGTGCAGAAGTACGAGTAACAGATTCTAGAATAATCGGATGTGAATCTTCGAATTCACTTGAATTGCCTCAACCATAGTCAACGTTTACTTACCATCGCCATCAATTCCGCATTATCAAACACTAAACGTAGTCAAGACTGTAGGAAGAACTAAGAAAAATATCTCCGCTCACTTAATATCAGAGTCTGTAAAATACATGTCTGGCATAAAGATCCAAGGAATTACTTAAGTCCTTGTACATCAAAAAGTACGACACAATACAAACTAGGGCGGCCTGCTTGAGCATCTGGGCTACCTGTTCCTGCCATCTAGATATTTCAACAAGTTATCTATTGTTGTTTGTTTTAATATATCATTTTGTTTATTAATCGCATAACCTATTCTGCTGCGTTTCTGAAAAGTGTACAACCTTTCGTTGTCAAAGTTACAGAAAACTCAATAAGAGACAATATGGTTGCTGGCAATGTACAACGAAAAGAATGTACATTATTCAGTTGTTCATTCACTGAAGTGCTAACAACTAACTGGCGATTCCTCAATATTTATCGCCAGGACCGACCAAGAAGAAAGAAACGGAAACTTGTTGAAATACTTTGCGCTGAGAATTCTATATTGTACCAAAATTATAATATTGAATAAAGCTAATAATAATAATAATAATAATAAACTCAACCGCAGCTTAGTGCAACCCAGTATATTTGGACATTTTGTGCATTACACCGAGAGCTGCACCGGAAATGTTAGGGACTATGATAACAGGCGGTTATGCAAGTTCAAGTGACTGAAGAGATCTTAAGCTTATGAGGAAATGTCTTGATAGTGGGCGTTCAAACCTAAGATCCAAAGTACACAAATATTATAGTGGTTATCAATAATTGTGTACACAAATTCCCACCTAAAACTGTCCTAACCACAGTCACAGCTCTCTGAACTATGAAATTAAGACAGACAAAAACATCTGTAAGCATTATTAAACACTTGCTTGGAATAGGAACCTCCACAGTCCATATTGTCCACGCCCATTGTTTCACGCTCCGGTTTTTTAAAGAATGAGGATTGTCTATGTCCGTTACATCACCTTCTGCTGCAGGAGGGCTGGCTGGTGACAATTTCGCTTGATACCAAGACCTGCCACCATCCGAAGAAATGCGAACGGAAATGATCCCACGCCCACCTCCGCTGAATGCATAGCTAAAGTGTAAGGTCATTTAACATGTATAAGTAAAAAACATTATATGAAACTACATATGAATCGTTAGAATGAGGTTATCCTCAATATAATTTTCCCTTGTTTCCGGTTATAAAGTATAATTATTATGAGAAACCATAGTATTGAAGAATGATGGAAATCAGTTACTTTATAAGCTTGTATTTTGCTGAGGATAATGTAGAGAAAAACAGGGAACTCATTATAATCTCTAAAAATCGACGTTATTACATCGCTTAAAAATATTTTTGCCGAATTATTTTGTCCTTTTTGAATGTTAAGTGATTCATGTCACCAAATCATCCTCATTACAACTGCACAATAAGTATCTTAGAAAATTAGGACTGAAAATATCAAGACACAAAAGGACCACCTATAACAATCACTACTTTATAAGCAAAGATGGATAATGGCTATCAGTGGAATCCAGGACGCACACTTCGTCCTATTTGGGACTCGTCAGCTGGATGTACCTGCATCTTAGAGTTGATGTTCACTGTGGGACTCGAATCCAGTACCTTTGCGCTTCAAACGCCATCGCGTTATCCACTTAGCTACTGAGTCCTGATAGCCACCTGCTTGTGCAATGGGGTGTAGTTTAATTCACTTGATATTGTTTTACTTGAATCTTCCCATTGATGTTTTAGGACTGAAATCGATCAGTCTCTTATTGGCATATGCGCATCCTGTGCGTATTGCCTCGATATTTCCTTAATTTACAAGCATTATAAGCAAAGATAGATAGTGGCTATCAATGGAATCCAGGACGCGCGTTTCGTCCTATCAGGAGTCATAGGTAAGTGGATAATGCGATGGCGTTTGAAGCGAAAGGTGCTGGATTCGAGTCCCACAGTGAACATCAACTCTGAAATGCAGGTACATCCAGCTGACGAGTCCCAAATAGGACGAAACGCGCGTCCTGGATTCCATTGATAGCCACTATCTATCTTTGCTTATAATGCTTGTAAATTAAGGCAATATCGAGGCAATACGCACAGGATGCGCATATGCCAATAAGAGACTGATCGATTTCAGTCCTAAATCATCAATGGGAAGATTCAAGTGAATTAATCATCACTTTAGTTTATATCAGTAGCACGTAACACAGTGGTAAGCGTCATTATAAAGTGCGACGAACCATTTCATTTGTGTAGTCCTCATAAGATAAAAATCCCGCTTTCTGAGGTTTCAGATTCAAGATTTTTTAAATACAGTGGTCATCTACGACCTTATATTGATTAGTTAATCAACAAGTGATTGATTTACTAAACCTAATAACAGTAATTTGAACTACAGAATAAATTAATCAAGAAACATGAGATAATTTTTGTAAAGACCATTGAAAACCTACCCTGACAAAATTACACTCCCAGTGTTTTTGAGGGTTTGGCCATCAGAAGGTTTACAAATAACTGACTGAACAGGATAATCCAAAATAGCCGGTAAGCCCTTCAGATCCGGGACTTTACCATCACCCATCGGTAGAACATATTTATAATCACCCTGCTGCCAAAAGCTTTCACTTTCGTCCGTTGATAATGTAATCTAAAGAGTCAATATGTTCTACACAATAACCTCTCAAGGTAAAATAATAATATGATAAGATTCTCAGAAACTGGTACGGAGTAGTCTGTTCATTACACAGAAGTCGTTTTTGGTAAACTAAACTGGTAATACAAACAATGTATGTAGAGTTCCGTATTCAAACAACCTGTAAACATCAATATTAAGCAAAGATGAATAGTGGCTAATAGTGGGATCCATAACACACGTTTGGTTCTATTTAAAACTCTTAAGCTGGATGTACCAGGATTCCGGAGTTAATGTCCACTCAGGAACTCTTATCCAGTACCTTTCACTACAAACATCGCATTATCCATGAGCGAAGATTAAATCACGAGTAACTTCTGAGACATATTAATCGACTAATATTATCTATATATTCTTATAGTATAACTATTCAATAATTAGATTATGTATATTCATATTCCTCTTATTATAAGCTTTATTTTGACCTATGATTTATTATTGTACGATTTACTGTTCTTCAGCTATGTTCAGTTTATTAACTACTGCCTCCCATGTTCACAGCCACTTTTTGGCTTTATTGTGTACAAATGTTATTTCCTATTTTATGGTGCGTTGCGGTCTGTTTGGTTGATATATAAACCCAGTATGTCGGAAATAAATGATTCGATTCGCATAGTGGAAGCTGGTATTGGTGTTTTGGACTCAAGTGAACGGGCTAGGCGGACATAGGACCAATAAGGACGCTAGGCTGCTCATACCGGTTGAACGTCATTGGTTTTGGTACAGTGCTAAGATTGTATAACTCGTATTTTGATTGGTGGGTAAATCACATGATAAAAAGCCGGACATAAAGTCACAACAATCCACTTCGAAACTGAGTTCAGATATAACCCGGCTTGTACAATGGGATGCCCAGATAGACTGATTAATCGCAGATCTGAACATTAATGGGAAGATCCAAACAACCTATATGTATAAATTAGAATCAAAATTTCCCTCATTGCACAAGCCAGTTTATATATAAACTCAGTAGAAAAGTGGGTAGAGCGATTTTCTTCGTAACGAAAGGTACTGATTACGAGATCCTTAGTGAACATCAACTCTAGGATGCAGGTAAATCCAAGTGAAGAATCCCAAAACGGACGGATTTCAACACTGGCCATTATCCATCTTTCCCTAAAATCCCTGTGATTAACTGGCTATATCAAGGTAATCCACACAGGATACATAAATGTTAAGAGAGACTGATTATCAATTGAAGTCCTTAACATCAATGGGAAGATACAAACAAACAATAAATATCAATTAAAATTATAGACATGAAATACAAATCCAGCTCTCAATTATAATTGATATTCAAAATTCAAAAACACAACTAAAGCTTGAGACTACACCCAACAGTACGAGAAAAATGTTTGACGTTACTCATACATTGGGTAGTCTAAAGACAAAAAATCTAATCAAAACGCTAAAAAAACTCCTTACAAGTAAACAATCGCTAACAATAATCTTAATTACTGTATTGTTATAGCTTCAAGCGATGTAACAGTCATCAAAACATTAAAATTAAAATAGACATAATCCAATAAGGACGATGTCATTTCAACAAATATTCATAAATATGATCTATTAATCGTAACGACATATATGAAGTGATAACGCTTATGTAAGCTATATATATACCAGATAGAAAACAAACTGATGGATAAGATAAAAGTAAGTTTCAAGATTACTGTTTACGCTTCAATAACACAGTAACGAGTTACTAAGATTTTAAGTCGAAACAACTGGCTCGAAGAAGGTTTAGATGAAGAATTTATGCACAATTGAAGTTACAACAACTCACTATTTCAAACCTAACTTTTGGGCATAAAGGAGTCATGTTCAATCCCTTATTCTTTGGTTACTTTAGCATCCCTCCTAACTTTGCAAATCATAATTGATAATTATTACTTTATTCTTTGTCTCTCTCTCTCTGCAGTTTTCCTTTGCAATGAATTTATGAATTATTATTTCCTATTGTTTTCGTAATTATTATATCACTTAATTCTTAAATAATTTTTGATCGCGATACTAATTTTACTCAATAGTTGAAAACTCTCGATAATTTTAATTACTTTAAAGTGATACCCTTTTATTCATAGGCTATTATAGTCAATATTTGAAATTTGTTAATAATCTCTGATTTCTTTATTAACTAATGACAAAAACATTTCATTATTGTCGAGTTTTACATTCAAACATGGATACGTTTGACTGTTTTTGATAAGTTTGTTTGATGACGCAACATTTCTCTAACGTATCATAACTATCAAATGTTAAAAAGTTAACAATAAACATGATTATACAGCTCAGGAAATTTTTTTTCGTTGAAACGTCTTCAGAACTGTACAAGAAAACATGAATTAACAAGAAATATAGCAGCTTCTACATTTAATCTACATAGTGAGAATTTTTGATCTTTTAAGAGTTATTAGACCAAGAATAGTGAGTTGTTAGACGACAATAATAAGGATATATAACATGCAAGTAGGACCGTATCTATAGTATTTAAAAAGAAGACAGATATATTAGTGGCAGTATGAAAAAGCAAACAGAAATCCCAACGTACATAAAAACCTAATAAATTGTGTACAAAAGTAATAATGACAAATAAAAATGGTATATTTTCAGTATTTCGATGAGCGGAAAAACTGAATTTGACGTTACGTGAATTAGTATCGAAATAATTGTCGTACAAAATTCAAGCCCAGTAGAAAAAAATAAACATTTCGCTGCAATTAATTCCTTCAATCTAATATCTATGTTTCAAAAGTGATAATACAACACATATTAGTTACAAAACCAAGAAACAATGGACAGCTTTATGGACGTAAAGTATGATCCCCTCAACAATAGTGCCCGCCAATCACTCCATACACAATGATACACTAGATCTCCAATTCTCATGACAATTTTCGAACTAATATTAGGATTTAATAGAAAACTGACTTTAAGTTTAACGAATCTCTACAAACTATTTAGCTAAATAATAGTCGTTTATTCATTAGAGGTCACTTTCAAGATGGAGTCAATCAATTAGAAAGTGGGCGAGTTACCCACTGGTGACACTGGATATGTATCATACTAATCATGAGTAAATGGGAGATCACAATGTAGCCTATTCAGTTTGAATAATATCATGCTTGCTACAAGTAAAGGTCTAAGGTTCAATAGTACTTAAGGTCATCATAGGACACAGCTGAGAAGTTCAGCAATTTACAGTTCTTTCGTTTTCATTGACCTTTCAAACTATATCAGCTTGTAAAAATAAATTATCTCGTGATAATTGCTAAGAAAAGTGTAAACCTTCATAAAATGGTTAATTAACAGTAGTTACATAAGAATAAATACGTTAAAATGTATGTAGTTTACACAACCACGGTCATCTCTTGAGTTAAGTACTCAATTGATGATTGGGTTATAACATCGAAAAAGACAGTTAAAGTAGTTGCAGTGATTTCTTTTGAGTGCAAAGTTTATTTACGAAGAACTCAGGTAGCCTAAATTGTGTAAGACACAGTGAGTGGTTTGCGATAGATAAGTGCGAACACTACTTAGGTCAAACAGATTGCTAGTCCATAATAATGATCGATATTTATTCACTATTCCTATTTTTCTTAGACTACCCTTGATGTAAAATAATCAGAAATCTAATGAACTTCTCGCTTGATTGTATGTGTGGCAGTGACAGCTCTTGAATAAATGGAACAAGAATGAGAGAGGACACAAACTTTTTTTCGTTTAGTTGAAAAGTACTTACTTGACCTAGCCATTTAACTTGACGAGCTCCAATAGAACCAGGTATGATAATTCTCAATGGGAAACCATGATCCCGAGTTAATGGCTTATTGTTCATTTTAAAAGCAATGATTACCTCCCTCTGAGGATCTAAAGCTAAATCAATTGGTAGCGATGAACCAAAAGCTCCACCAGTAGGATCTATATCCAGTCCTATATTAGAAAAACGTTGGGAAATGTTAGGAAATATGAAGCCATTGTTATTATTTTTGAAAAAATCAACTAGGAATATTTTCTCAATGTTACTCATAGCAACTACTGATTAAATTAGTGAGTGTTAAAAGGATAAAATAGGGCAATGATTTTCCTGTATATGTAGTAGCATGCTAAAATAGAATAGATAAAGGTTATTGGTTATAGACATGTACACCTTATGGAGCTTAATAGTGTTAGACACGAGTCATAGTACCAATGAAATACAGAGCTACTCAATTTCCTCGTTCATTTACAGAAACCTACAAAAAGCAAAGAAAGAAGTTAAAAGAACAAAAAATGTTCATCTAAATTCCTTTTTACTTTTAGATCATTACAACAATATTTCGCTTTTTTTATACTTTGTAAATTAAATTGTTCCACATGATAATTCTATTAAGAACCGTATCTCAATAATTTGTAAGCTGAATATTATTTATAGAGAATATTCAAACCCTGAAAACCGTATAAAGATGCTCTCAATATATAAAGCTAACTTTAAGATGATTAGTATTTAGACCATTTAAATTCTTACTAGACGATTTGGTTTACTGACCCCCCCACACACACACACACACACAAAAAAAAACCTTCCTCTCTAACTATATTCGATAGATGGTACTGGAATTCTTTGCTGGAATTTTTTGCCCCCAAATGCCCTGGTAAGGCCGAGAGTAAGGAGAGTCCGCCCTCCCTCTCGAAATGCTCTTGCACAACCACGCATATACAGCCTGTGCCAGGGCAAGTCCTACTCATTGCCTTCTCATGGCGGGGGTTTTGTTTAGGAAATTGAGAGGACGAAAAGCGAATGTCTGGCGCTTTAACCGGGTTGGTGGACATCAAGAGTCCACCTAGGGGAGTTGGAAAACCCTGATTTCAAACCAATGGTGCACATGAGCTTCAGTATCCTGAGGGAAAAAATGGCGTATGAACCAATTGTTGGTCACCGTCTACCATGGGACTGCATCTCCTTACATTGCTCCACTGCCTTGTGGGTCAGACCTTACTGGATATACCGTACTGGAATTCATATTGAAATGAAACGATAATAGTTCAAACAATTATAAAAACCATAAGAATTTATAATTTCATGTTTAATTTAATGAATTTCTCAGTTAAAAATTTCAAAAGTATTTTTTTTAATAAATAAAAAATGGAAAGCAACTAAAATAACGCAGACGTAAATGTCAGGTATTTAGACAATTAACTCTATTTAAAACTACTTTATTAATGCTACTACGATTTAGAAGAAGAAGAAGAAGAAGAAGAAGAAGAAGAAGAGGAAGAAGAAGAAGAAGAAGAAGAAGAGAAGAAGAAGAAGAAGAGGAAGAAGAGGAAGAAAGAAGAAGAAGAAGAAGAAAAGAAGAAGAAAGAGAAGAAGAGGAAGAAGAAGAAGAAGAAGAAGAAGAAGAAGAAGAAGAAGAAGAAGAAGAAGAAGAAGAAGAGGAAGAAGAAGAAGAAGAAGAAGAGGAAGAAGAAGAAGAAGAGGAGGAGGAAGAAGAAGAAGAAGAAGAAGAAGAAGAGAGAGGAGGAAGAAGAAGAAGAAGAAGAAGAAGAAGAAGAAGAAGGAAAAAAACCATTTTTACAATTATGCACTTACATAAGTGTTCTTATTGATTTATATAATTTATTATTATAGATTTTAATTAAGTTCATTTATGAAGAACTCATTATTTATTAAGTAAATATTAATGATATTTAGTATTATAATTATTAAAAAGGAACAAGTTGAATCAGTTGAAAAAAAACAAAATACATAATGAAAATATTTAGTAGATTATTGAGTCAGTCAGTTACAACGTAGGACCAGGCATATACGTGCATCGGTTTGAGTTGCCATACCTCATTAGCATAACAAGATGAACACCGGATTCATAGGAGTGGTTAAGATAATGGTGGTAATATATAAAAGAAAGATTATCAATAATCAATCATTCGATAAACTCAATACAGTGAAAAAATGAACTTTATATTAATTAATTGAAATATAAAAGATCAATCACAATTTTAATGTTGATTGTAATTACATTTTATTATCTTATTAATATATATAGTTATAAATAAAAGTGGAGTTCAACCAGGTCTGTTGCGAGATAGTAATTCACTGATGATAATAGTGGATGTGTCGCTAAATTTCTTGGATTAGTTGAAGTTAGACATTAACGCCGCTGGATTCCAGCTTAGCGGTCTAGTGGTTAAGTGCTCGCGCGCGAGACTAATAGGTTCTGGGTTCGAAACTCGCAAAGCGGGATTGTGGATTTGCACTGTTGAAGAGTCCTACAATAAGACTAAACGGCCGTCCAGCGCTTCCAGGGTTTTTATGGTAATCTAGCTTCAACTGACTTATAATCTCAATCATTAAAAGGTAAAATAGTAAATGAATTATGATGATATAAGAGTTAGTAATAACAGAAATATAAATCTTTCAATCAATAACGAAATATCTATTGTTCTTCCTCCAATATTCATAAAGCTCAGCATGAACTAATATGAATGACAAAGATCACTAAATTTTAGTGCTTACATGATTGGTTTTTGGTAAATTTGCATCTAGGACCTATCATCTTAACATTCGCTAGCACAGTCTTATTTTATAATTTTTTATTAGTAACTATTAAAAGAATCTTGTATTTGTCGTCTAATGGAATGAATATGATATAGTTTAAAAACTGCTGTATTTCCTGGTCCAAATGATTTCACTGAAAATCTGTAGAAGATTATCGATTAAGACATTATACTCTCCTTTCTCTTAACCAATTTGTTTATTGAACTTAACGATATTTTATCAAAGCTTCTGAAATCTTTGTACTCCATCTTCAGTGGAAACTAATCTGTCTTTTGGATCTAGTTCTCGGATTCTTAGTGAAACAGTTTACGATGTACTCTAACAGTTGGACTGCATAATTAATCGCTCTCAAAACTTTCAAACTAACAAATATAGGAAACATTAGTAGCGAGAAGTTGAAGAAAGTCTAAATCTCCTTGTATTCTGGGTATAATTAACCTCAGGAATATTCAATAGATAAGTATTCATGCACAGCTTACCGTCAAATCGAATGTGACGTACACCTGCATTTTTAAGCAATTCGTAGAGTGCTTGATAGTTTGTTCTTTGGTTTGAAGGTAACAGATGATAAGCCAATAAGTCCACTAACAGTACACCAGTCCACTCTGCCGTAGAAATCGCTCCCTCAGACCACGATAAGCCTTTCACATAAGGACTATGTTCTTCTAATTCAGCCTTTTTTATATCATACTTGATCATATCTGATCGTCGGTTCCCAGCGCAAACAATGGTGGATACTAAACTTTTACGAGGATAATTCTTTAGAATATCTTCTAATTTTAAAGACAAATTCAGTGATTGATTGTTAACTTTTATAACCGAAGAAGCTATTTCAAGTCTATATGTCCTAAAGGAGAAAAATATTTCTAAGGATATATAGCTTGAAAAATAAATGTTGAACTAAATTTAATAAAAAAAATTTCAGTTAAAAAATGAAGAAACCAATTTGAAAGGACCAATCAGATAATGTTACATCATCTTTACCATTACTTAACTTTAATATACTTTTTATTTTATCGGTTTTCAACTGATTATTCTTTAGCTAAAAGTGTTAACTCGAACTGATCCATTTTATAAAGAAATATATTAACTAGTCCTTTCATTGATTTTAATGTTGACAATTACAATAAGTGACAAGATGACTGCATTTAATCAGTTATTAACCTTAATAAACAGATGCAGATTATTTTTCTTTGCAGCAGCTACTAACCTAAAAAAAGATAGATCCCGGATGATACAACAGATACACTATATTTACAAGAATAGGTTTTCTATAGAAAGACACTTAATCAGACTGAGTGTTCTGTAATAACTGAAAGTTAATAAACTGAGCTGATTGATGATAGTGTACTAAGATTATTCAGTGAAATAAGGAATACCTGTACAATCAAAATGTGTGATATAAATAAAGAAACGTTTCCATCCATATGACACAACACACATTTTGCAAATCAATCTTTTGCCTACAAACTTAAAGTAGTTATATTTGTATATTTTAAAATATCAGAAAATCCCATAGTTTTATCCTCACTTTACGCTTGGTTGGGTTAATCAAACATTAGTGAACAAATAAGAACAATGTCCTCAGTTTAGGAAGAAGTGGGCTTTAGCAACTATGAAGGTAAAGAAGTAAAAAGTGATTAATTTCAGATGCCAAAGAAAAACGTCTGACATCAAAGTAAGGACGTAGCCATTTAAAATTGGAATTTACTTATACTATCACAAAACACAACTATCACCATGTTATGAGGCATTAATGGTAAATTTAAATAACTTCGTGAGCATACGTCAACCACTTTATCAATTATGCAAACAGAGATTGAAATTTTCAGCTTTTCATTAACAATAACAACACGTTCAATCTAGCATTTGTAAGAAATTGCAAAAGCAGAAATGAACCATCAGTAATTAATGCTGTTATTATAAATTATCTCCAGTCAGTCTTAATTTTTTCATCTGATTTTGTCATCAGGATATAAGTGCTCATATTTCTTAAGGAAATTACTTCGAAATGTCTACGTAATCTGTAAATCTAAGTTAATTCCAAGTGTTTTTATAATGCTTACGTGACAAAATCAAACTGGCGCTCGGTAAATTTATGTCACTTTTTAGATTGACATCCGTAAGATTCTTCTTATCATTCTTTTACTACATTTCATTTGCAAAATGAAGGTGAACATTAGTTGAATTCTTGTAACGATCGTCACTGTTTTTCCTTATCCTACTCGCGAACTGTCATTTATTTATCTAATGAGCATTAAGATAAATTATTAATAGTCTTGAAATTAAATACATACATGCGATGTATTCTTAGTCTTCAACAGTTTAAAAGCATTCATCTGACACCATATTTAAGGTTCTCGCATTTACACTTGTGTTCATAATAAAATCATCTGTATGGCGATGCTGAAACTTCGTTAGTATTTAACGCGTTCTTGCACATCATTATTTTTTATTAGATCGATTCAGTCTTTTAGTGTCTGTTGAGAGAGCTTACATAGAATACTTTGAGATTTTTATTTAAAACTGCTTAACCAATCAGTATATTATGAGAGATGAAAACGTTTGCGCTGGGAACCGACGATCCAGTATGACCAAGTATGATATAAAAAAGGCTGAATTAGAAGAGCGTAGTCCTTTATTAATCCACGTTTGTAATGAATTCAGCAGAATCAATCGTATTTGTACTAGCGATACTAGTGAAGTAGAGATGAACTTCTTGGCTGATACGCTAATGAAAAATTGTTATTCATTGAAGTTCATAAACCGCTGGAGGGGTGTCAATACGATTAGACCTATGACGCTTCTGGCACCCAAGAAGCGTGTTTACATTATGTTACCATTTAGAGGCGACACAAATAGTCTCATGTTGAAACTGAGACTTAAATTAGCCATCAACCGGACATTTTATGCAGCCCAACTTTTCATTACTAAAAAGATAGGGTCTGTTTCACCAAAAGCTCGAGTATCACGCAAGCGACTGTGTCACACCCCAGTGTGTCTATCAATTTACATGTATGTGCGGAAACACATATATACGGAGGAGTAATCGTGATTTGCAATTAAGTGCAGGTGAACATATACCAAAATGGCTACAGAAACAAATGAATTCTAATGGTCAAATAAGATAACAGGATCATCCTCTATTGCGAAACATTTGATTGAGACTAGTCATAAGGTTGACAACAAGTCAGCATTTGTAGTGTTGTACAAAATCCTTCAAGGACTTCAGTCAGTCAGTCAGCTACAACGTAGGACCAGGCACATATATGCATCGGTCCGATTTTCTATACCGCATTAGCACAGCAAGATGAACACCCGATTCATAGGAGTGGTTAAGTTAATAGTCGTAATATATAAAAGAAAGATTGCATACAAAATATAGTACAGGAAGAAAGAATAAGTTCGTAGAAAGGAAGATATGAAGTGATTTTAATCTCTTAGTTTAAGGGAAGACAAAGAGTGTATACACCGACGCCATTGTGACCGATTCTGAGCCATGCCACCACGAGTCTCCAACCATTGGTTACGATAGTCACGCGGACCCCAACAAAGTAGTCTGCATCTACCAACATGGCTCAGACTAGAAGTTAGTGACTCCAAGCACTGATGCCACGTTTTGGTTTGGCCGCCCCTAACTTTCTTCCAACCATCCCGAACACCGAATAGCATTGCACGTCGTGGTAATCGGTGTTCAAGCATACGTAACACGTGGCCCAACCATCTCAGTCGATGAAGATTCATAACCTCATCAACTGATTTACCATCATTCCCTAATACCCTGTGTCTAACCTCACTATTACTTACCCGGTGATCCCAGCAGATGCGAGCAATATTTCTGAGGCATCTGTGGTCAAATACTAGTAGCTTACGAATATCCTCTACTCCTAATGGCCACGTTTCGCAGCTGTAAAGTAGAACAGAAACAACTACCGCGCAGTATACTCATCCTTTCATTGATAGACGGATATCTCGCCTACGCCATAGGTGATATAAGTTGGCAAAAGCCAAATGAGCTTTACGAATCCGTGCTGAGATTTCGTCAAACACCAACCCATTAGGGCTGATCAGACTTCCAAGATAAGTGAAGTTGTCAAGGTGTTCGACTACTTCACTCCCTATCCTTAGTTCAGGTGTTGACGCAGACCAGTCTTGAAGCAACAACTTGCAGCGCATTCCAAACATTCTGGCATTGTTGCTCAGTACTACCAAAACACTCTGCATTTTATCAGCGTCTTCATCAAACAGGGCCATATCATCTGAGTATTCTACGTCGATAGGTGGACCTCCTGGAAGGAGGTCAGTGCTCGAAAATTCAGTCGATGAGAACGTTGTTTCCATCAGTATATCTATGATGAATTTGAACAAAAATGGAGGAAGTGTACAGGCTTGACGGACACCACTTGAGGTTGCAAAAGCAGACGACAGTTCGCCATAAGCTCTGACTCAACTAGTAGTGTTCGAGTAAAGAGCCTTCACAAGGTTTATGTACTTCTGAGGTACGCTTTTCGATGACAGACACTGGCACAAAACCTCTCGGCCTATAGAGTTAAATGCTGCTTTTAAGTCAAGAAAGACCACCATTGTCGGACGCCGATAAGCATGCCTGTGTTCTAGAACCTGACGAATGGTGAATATGTGGTCGACGCAGCCACGACTAGGTGTGAAGCCAGATTGATTTCCTCGTGTTTGCAGTCCACGTGTCTTAGGCGATCAATAATTATTGAGGCTAGTATTTCAGATGTTATATTAGTTAAACTAATCCCTCTATGGTTGTCACAGGATGATTTTGACCCTTTCTTATGTATTGAAACAATTAGTGATTGTGATCAGTCAGATGGGATTACGTCCAACTCCCAGATTTTAGCTAAAAAATTAGTCAACCTAATCGCTAAAACAAGACCATCATACTTACAGATATCTTGAGCCAAACCATCTGGGCAGTTGCTCTTCGTCAATTCAGATTAGCTATAGCTTTTTTAACTTCAATTAGAGTCAGGGGACCTACTTCAATGTCCTGTTCAGGCTGTTTTGGAATGGTGAGTAGTTGTAGAGTAGCTGAATGCCAGATGAACTGCTCCTCAAAGTGTTCCACCCATCGTTCTAAACGTCTGGGATAAAAGTTGTTGTAGTCTTTATCCGAGATTGTCTCACATTTGACTTCTTAATTCTAGTTTCTTTTATTAGTCTGTAGAGCTATCTTGTGTTCCTTATAGCCGCCGCCTTTTCCATTTCTTTTGCTTTCGTTGCCCACCACTGCTCACGGTCGTTTCTTAGACTTTTGCTTAACCTAGATCTGATTTGTTTTTGCTCTTCATCGTGTCCAGAGCCTGATGGGATGAGCTTGAGAGAATCTATCATTGCAATATACACTGAAGAAATCCATTGATTTTTGTAACCTCTTGGTTTAAATCACTAATAGATGTCACTGCTGTTTCCACAGCTGTTCGTATATCTTTCCAAGCAACATCTGGGACAGCCTCGTTTTCAGAACTACATAAGTGTGACCTCAGTTGTTCCTGGAACCTACTTTTGGTTTTCTCGTTACTCAATCCAGTCCTAATGGGTCTTTTTAATGTGGCTTTTTTGCGTCCAGTGAGGCGCAAGCAAATGTGTGCCCGTATTAGGGCATGGTCGGAGTCCAAGCAGGTACTCCAGAATGAGCGACAATCTTCTACCGACCCACTCCAACGATGACTGATGGCAATATGGTCTATTTGAGTCCATCGTTGGTTTGGTGAAGGCGGTCGCCATGTTAGACGATGTCTCTCCTTATCCTTAAAATTTGTTTGCTGACAACAAACGATTGTCTGAGCACAGTTGCAGCAGACGATCACCATTATCTGTTCGTTGTGCCGGAATACTAAAATACCCGTTTAAATGCCTTTCTGTTTGGTTTAAACTATCTATCTGAGCATTAAAGTCACCTGCTACGAGTACTATGTCTGGACGTTTAGCTTTCTGAAGAAGTTCAGATAGCTTTCTGTAAAATTCATCTTTCACTTCGTCTGAGCTGCAGTCGGTGGGAGCGTAGGCAGAAACGACGAAAAGGCAACGACGTGTGTCCCTATCCTCCCGAGTTCTTACAAAGCCGTTTAGCCGAACAGCACATAAATGACTGTTAACGGGGATCCACTCTAACAGTGCTTGTTCTGTCCTTATGCTTAGTGCTATCCCTACTCCTGCCAGTCCATGAGGACCAGCCATTGGGTCGTCAGATACACGGAGGGTGTATCTCGTCGGCTCTCCGTTTTGCCGAGGTGAGGTCAAGTGAATGATCACACTAGGATCCTGTGTGCGTGTTTTGGAGACAGCTTACATCAATCGTACGAGATTCTAGGGTTTCAGCCCAGGAGGCCTGTTGACCGGTTTGATATAGAATGCTTACGTTGAAGGCTCCAATGTGTAGTTTGGAGCGAGGTTCCAGTAGACCTGGGACAGTGTTTTGAGCACTAGAATCGTTGGACATGGTGACATTTGAGGAGGAAGCCGAAAGAGGAAGTTTAGAGGTGAAAGTCGATGTAGGAGGAGTAATAGGAAGTGAAGACGGAGGTTGATTATGAATACAGTGGTCTTGAGTGCTGTTAGAGGTATGAGGGCGGTTATCACTTCCCAGTTGCCCACACCGTGGAAGGGTTGTTCTGGAGGTACCTGAAAAGGAAATTGGATTAGAGGTGGTCTCAGTGACCTGAGATCGTGACAGCAGTGCCCAAGGGACAATTGCTGGAGGTCGGTCACACACGACCTTTTTATGGGTAATTTTCGTGTTAGCTCCGTACTTGTTCAGACTACTGCCGGAGACGGATATCTGTGGGATAAGGTTATCTTTTTTAACCCCACCCCTCCTTGTGGGAAGGCAGCGTCGCTGTCATGCTGGTTGTCTGAAGGAAACACCTTACTGCCGTCACACCTCTGAGCAGTCAGCAGTACGACTTCTCCTTCGGACTTTGGGATTGTTGCTTTTAGTCTTAGCGCTCTTCAACCGACCTGTCTGACATTATAGGACCTTGAGGAACGGTTGTTCCAGCCAGTATAGCTCGGTTGCTTCATCACGATGGGCAAGCCCAACCACCACGTCAAGGTAGCGACAATGTTAATACTGATTTAATATCCAGAGTGGTTATCACATTGTTTTTGTTTGCTTTATTTAATTAATTATTTATTTATTGTTATGTCTTACATTTAACGTGTCTAGTTGACCTTTTAATTTTCATATAGAAATGTCTTAACAAGTGATCAGATTGTTCAAAATGTATTGCGCAAATGTATCACATAATTTTAATAAACTTCGTCTTGTCATTCACTTATCGAAATACAACGAAATAAACAGTTACAAATTACTACTTCCATTGAATGGACTCAGAATTCATGGTCAGAATATATGATTCGAAGAAATCAAAACCTATATCACCACATTCTATTTTTATTCAAATTTACCACAAGTGTAGTTACTTCAAGGTTTCCTTCTGAATGAGAATTTTGGAAAAATTTTCATCTCTCATAATATACTGATTGGTTAAGCAGTTTTAAATAAAAATCTCAAAGTATTCTATGTAAGCTCTCTCAACAGACACTAAAAGACTGAATCGATCTAATAAAAAATAATGATGTGCAAGAACGCGTTAAATACTAACGAAGTTTCAGCATCGCCATACAGATGATTTTATTATGAACACAAGTGTAAATGCGAGAACCTTAAATATGGTGTCAGATGAATGCTTTTAAACTGTTGAAGACTAAGAATACATCGCATGTATGTATTTAATTTCAAGACTATTAATAATTTATCTTAATGCTCATTAGATAAATAAATGACAGTTCGCGAGTAGGATAAGGAAAAACAGTGACGATCGTTACAAGAATTCAACTAATGTTCACCTTCATTTTGCAAATGAAATGTAGTAAAAGAATGATAAGAAGAATCTTACGGATGTCAATCTAAAAAGTGACATAAATTTACCGAGCGCCAGTTTGATTTTGTCACGTAAGCATTATAAAAACACTTGGAATTAACTTAGATTTACAGATTACGTAGACATTTCGAAGTAATTTCCTTAAGAAATATGAGCACTTATATCCTGATGACAAAATCAGATGAAAAAATTAAGACTGACTGGAGATAATTTATAATAACAGCATTAATTACTGATGGTTCATTTCTGCTTTTGCAATTTCTTACAAATGCTAGATTGAACGTGTTGTTATTGTTAATGAAAAGATGCTTTGATAAGTTTTAACAACCGGTGTTAAGTTTGAGAAAACGGTAAAAGTGGTACTTGGTCAATCAAAAACGACTTTATCACTCCTGATTAATTGGTTAGTCATATAGGCGTGGAAAGTACTAGTTTAATTTGAGTGGCTTTCAGGTACGAACGTAATCAATGCTTAAGTTTGGTAGTTGTAACAGGTTTAGTTAGATAATAACTTACTCAGGATCAACATCAGGAACAGGAAGGTGGTTTCTTACAAAAAATAAATCAGTAGGAGTTATTGGGTTGCTACATATTGATGAAAGAGGAGTTTCCGCATTAAAAGGACGTTGCGAAACCACTTTCAAATCCGGATTTCTCTGAGGATCAGAACTATATATATCTTCATTGTCTTCTTCTTCGACAAAGTCCTGATAAGAAAGAATCAGGAAGATAATTACAAAAATCACAAACGAATATCTCATGATCAGTTTAAAATATCAACGCACTGGTTTTTAAGATGTATGCGAATTTAAAATGTTTCACTTTCATAGGCTTTGAATAAAATTCGCAGATAAAAGATAATAGAATATTTTACACTATGAAATAGTAGGTAGTAAGATGGTGTATCCTTATTTTAACCGTTTAAGCCACTCAAGCGAAAATCAACATAATTGAACGTTAGGATTTTTCAAAAACCCTTTGAACTAAATATCGTAATAAATGTGAATACATACTAGTTATCTTTATATGTAAGTTAGAAGATAATGAAAAACTGCGTAATCATAACTGACAGATACTAAAACAGCCAGAATAACATACAACTTTACGCTCAACTAGAAATAAAACATAAAAATGTATTTATGAATAAACAAATAAATTAGCATTCTTTTCAAAGAATGCTGAAAACTTTAGATTTCGTACATTCATGAGAAAAGTAGCGATTCATTATACATAAATCAGTGTTGAAGACGAAATAGAAAACATCAGTTAAAATAATTGAATAAATACGTCTGGTCACCTTCACAGCCGATGAAAAAATAGGCTACGAAAGAAAAGTAGTCATCACTTCATTATGTGAGTATCCGGAAATTTTGTTTCAGGCATGTATATTGTGTTATACAATAAATATTTAGGATAGTATGACTCACCAAGTAACAATCACTTCCTGAACAATGCCAACCCACTTGTAATAGCTATTAAGAAAATTTATATTTCAGCATCGATTCGTGTACAGAAGACAGGAAGAATTTCTCTCTTAATTGACTGAATAAAGTGATTTTCGAACTACAAACCAACGCTTTTGGAATGCTCATGCAACTTTTGAGTTTGTAAACATTGAATTAAAAGTCAACTAAAATAGCCATCAAATTATTGAAAAAGAGGTCCCGACTGTCAAAAAACATACTAAGACGTTTCAAAAGATAAATGGGTACTAAGGAAATTGTCCAAACAAACGGGTTCTGGTCATGATAAAGAACAAAACTAGATCAAACATTCCAGGTGTACGATGACCAAGAAATAAGCCAAACATTCAGGTATTAATTCATTGTAGGGGTAAAAACCTGCAAACCTGGTTTCTTCCAATAGCCTACGATATATATAATTATCTTTTATCCGACATCTCATCTGAAAGATTAATACAATATCAGTCTCATGAGCAGTTATTATTATTATTATTATTATTATTTTATTTTAACACATAGATATTGGTACAAGGAGGCACCAAATACATATGCGCTACACAAATCTCATTCTATATGTGTGAGGGCTGTGATACTGCCCGGGTGCCCGAACCGAAGCAGGTGGTTTTCTTAGTGGGCCACTCCCCGAGCCTTCGACCTGAAGGTCTGATCCACAAGGCAGTGGAGCATCGTAAGGAGATGCAGTCTCATGGAAGCCGGTGGCCAACAATTGGTTCATACGCCATTTGTTCCCGCAGGATACTGGAGCCCATGTGCACCATTGGTTTGGAATCCTGTTAAAGCGCCGGACATTCGCTTTTCGTCCTCTCATTTTCGTAAACAACACCCCCTCCACGAGAAGGCAGTGAGTAAGACTTCCCTGGTAGAGGCTATATACGCGTGGCCATGTGAGAGCATTTCGAGAGGGACAGCGGACTCTCCCCACTCTCAGCCGTACCAGGACATTTGGGGGCAGTTATTACTTGACATCATACTCCAGCGTTCACTTACCGACTGACATTCTTTTCATTTTGCAGTTACTAAGTTCTTATGGAATCTGTATGGAATACTTCGACTAGCTGCGTGAATATCTCAAGGCTTTGTGGATCAACAAATGAAAAATATGTAGTGCAACTGAAACTATGGTATCAACATAAATTCAGTCCCCTAAACTCTCTAAAGTGAATACATCGCCTAACCATTAGATCCATTTTTTAAATATTCTCTAAAACTCATTAGAATGGTTTACAGCTACTTAAGGGGGTTATAGTCTAAGTTTATGTTTGCTTTGTTATTGGTCTAGCCAAAATTCTCTTAGTTATCATTCAATTTTTAAATCACTTTATAAAATTACGAAAGCTAACATGAAGAGCTAGTTACTGTTGAAAATTCGATTTTGAATAGGAACTCCGTGAACCATATTAACCAGTTTATCAAATCTGGCAACAGTGCCGATAGACTACACAGCATAATCTCCTTGACTGGTAGTAAAGTAATGTGGTTGAAACTAGTTTATGACAGGTTGTAAATATCAACTTAATGTGTTACTGGAATTCGAGAATGTCGCTTTGTCGCGCAAATGAATTTGTAGTTGTGTAGCTATCGGAAGTATAAACTTAAGATAAGTAACCCTATCAAAAACAAGAAATAGTCGAGCGCCAATAGTTTAACATCCCGAATTCCAACATCGAATATGGTTTTGAATTTCAGTTTAGTGACCATCTGAAAACTAATTTATACTGCTTAATTGCTGTAGACAGTTGTCGCTAAAATATGGTGGGAAGAAGCGGTCGAAACGTCAATGTATAATAAAATTGCAAGCTCAATATTCAAACTTTGGTGAGTAATTTACGTAAACTAAAGGTAAACCAACCTATGATTTTCCATTTCTATAAGGTTGTTTGACCTTAAAACGACTACCTGTGAGCTTTGACAACTGAGCTATACCCAAAAATTGTCTGTTTAACATCTAATAATCACTAAAGCAAAGAAAACTCAAAATTTAAAGGTCAAGTAGTGGGTTCTTACCGATTTGTCAAGTTCTCCAATATAGTACTTCTCTAGTATTTTCAAAACATGACTCTGGTAGTGAAATGCATAAACGGACCAAAATGAAGAGACGTCAGACCCAGCGGCCAAAAGAATTTTGTCACCCCCAGGATGATCGTCAACAAAACTCGTAACATCGTACACTTTACCTTTAAGAGAGACCCAAACTCCACGTTCCTTACAGTTATGCTGAGCAAGTTCCTCTAGTGTAATGATACGCGGCTTCTTAGACTTTGAAATCCAAGCAATTGCGAAAATTCCACAAGAAAGTCCACCTAAAAAAACTACAAATCACTCAAAATTTTACCACATAACCACCACCTTGATATGTTACTGGACTAACGGGGATTTTCGCCAAGCTTCTCACTTTGTTGGATGTAGTATGGAACTGCACAATTTGTCATCTATAATGACAACAAACCTGATTGGGGAGTTTATGAAACGAGATAAAAATGAGGTTGATACGCGACCTAAACATAGATTACTCATCAATATCGTATAAACAGATAATACAATTGTTTCTTTGCCTAAAAATATAAAAGACATGAACTAATTTGCACAATTCCTATGAATGATGTTACTCAAATAAAAACACTTCCCTGTAATGTGTTAACTAACTCATATGAAAGGAAAATCACGATAGATGTAAAATTAAGAGAGCGGTGATCCGAACACCTATGAGTACGCATCCGTACTTTGACCTCTATCATTGAAAGCATACAAACATACCCAATCTCCCAGTTTCGGGGAAAATTTGACCCACTTTGGGAAAGTCGCCATAGTAAACTTTGGGAAAATGGCACGAATTCAACAATACTTCCCCAGAATCTTATTACGTTTTGTGGAAATCGGCTTACATTTATTAATAAAACCTCAAATTTTTTCACAATTTTGGGGAAATTTTGCGTTTTTCCCCAAAATTTTCCTTGACTTTGGGGTTTTTTACCAAAATTTCTCCAAAGTTGGGAGCTTGAGATATTTAATTGAATTAGCGGTGAAACTCTACTTTATGGACGACCTTTGAACGAATTTTTAAGTGACCTTGAAAACATTAGCCAATCAGAAGAGAGTTAGTATAAAGTAGAAATATATTATAAAAGAGTGATGAATTACAATGGATATTCTTCTTTTACATTATTTAAGAACTTGTTGAGGTTTGATATAGGTTCAGAAGTTTTGAAATCATAGTGCATGCGGTATAAGAACTCGTCCATATGACTCTATAATAATCGTCCTCTGGAGCCGTGGTAGGGTTTTAAAGAATACTTCACCCTAGACCACATGCCCTCAATGTTGTTTGTATGGACCCCCCGTCGTTGGATCAAAGAAATGACGTTTGTGCACCACAACATGATGCACAAAACCAAGTCTGGAGAGGCATCTATACGCTTTCCAAATATCGGTATAGCCGCAGCTAATGTTACTGGAAACTTTATGATCCAATTTGCAACGATTATCATGGTTTGTCTTAGCCTTAGCCGTGACCGGGCAAAAAAAGTGCCAGTTCGAGCAGATTTTTTTATACAACATATAGTACAACGAAATACAATGTCATCGCGGCAGTCTGCACATCGTGCTGCGGTTATTTAATTGCCGCAGTCACAGACACAGGAACTTCTGAATAGTCCCATCTGCTGTAGTCTCTCAACGATCACCTATTCTCTAAAATCTGCTGTAAAACGATCGAATGTGGGCAAGGTAAAAACGGTAATCCCTTTCAAATCTGTCCGCCGTTTCGTTTCAACGACCTTGAACGCGCTGACTGTAAGCGGGCATTCCGTATTTCAATTGCCGTGTGTGTGTTGGGTCCTATGAGTATTAAATGTTTCCATATATAAGTCATCTTTTGATGCATAATAAACACTAAATAACTGCTAAGAGCATTAACTGAGTATTTTCTGTTTTGTAGTGCACACTTTAGCTCTGTTGTTCCTTCGAAACTTGATCTGTGGTCCTAAGTGCTGTAGTGAAAGTCAACAGCTATATATAATTTGTTGATAAGGTCCAGAAAACAACGTAAGAAAGATAAAATAACGTAAAAGGTTATAGATGCGCCTAGTTTTTGTGAGTTAAGACGAAATGTCAACTGAAGGGTAAGTCCTAAATATTTGTTGTTCTTCCTTCAGTTAATTTTTTTCAAGGAATAACCTTTTTTTAATAACTATTGTATGTTGTCTCTAGTGCTTCATGCTCAAGTGAAATTTCAGTGAACGTAAGCGACGCGTTCCAACGTATTATGCTGAACAAGAGATTCGGAAGCTGGATTGAATTAGATAATGCGCTAAAGGATTTCCATAAAGTATGATAGGATAAATCTATGTTTTCTCAGATGACCAATACACACTATGTTCACGCAGGAAGTAGCTTGTTGAAGGATGTGAGATATAAATACTTGTTCGTAGTGTTTCGTTGCACGTTTGGTCGTAAACGTAAATCAGAAGGTCTGAATGTGAATAAAAAACCGTGAGGACTCTAACTAATGTGTTACATTTAAGGTCTAAATTTTTAAATTGCCAATCGATGTTTCGCGTAAGATTGGAGGGTCAACAATACGTTATAAAATCTTACAACATGTCTCACAACCATCCGTGTACTAGTTCGTGGATGGTTTGTCATCCGTTGAGTAGACGATTGTCATCAGAAGAAAAAGAAAACTTGAAACCAGTTGTATTGCACTGTCAGTCGACGGACGAAGTTATCGGAAGTATTAAGGAAAGAACAGGTAAGCAGGTGACCGCTGCTGATGTCAAAAATATGAAAGCTGAACTCTCCACTGGTAAGTGTATATAAATATATTTCAGGTTGGACTCGGAAGCAGGTATTGCAGATGATGCGACAAAACGGTGAAGTTAGAGAGCATGCAGAAAATGGATGTATTACGGCGATATGCTTCAGCAGTTATGATCAGATACGGCTGTACAATCAATATCCCGAAGTCGTGTGTATTGATTCTACTTATAAAACTAATAATAAAAAGTGAATATGATTTTCGTTTTGTTCTACTATGTAGATATTCATTATTCCACGTAAAACAATGTGGGCGCGTGCCTTTTACGGCAGTATATTAACTTTGGGTAACAACACGAATAATCGTGTTGAGTCATTAAATAGGCAGATAAAAAGATATGTACGCAAAAGCGACAGCTTGCACAAATGCATGTACAAGGCTTTTAAGTGGAGTTCAATGACTTTCTCTAGAAAAAGCATTGAAGACCAAATAATCAGTGGACGAACATACAATTATGATGCTCCACAGCGTCTTATACCCTTGCTGAACATGTTGACTCCATTCGCAAGATCCAAAGTGTTATACGAACTTTAAAAATGCGTTTCGTTAACTTAGAATATGAAAGTGGCGAGTGGTTGTTTATGCTTGACCGCGGACAACATTACGAAGTGGATGTAAGTATTTGTGAATGCAATTGTAGCACGTTTAATATGTGTCGATATCTGTGCCGCCATCTCCTGCTGGCATATAGTAAAAGACGAAATCTAACAGGTAAGCTATTTAAATTATAAAATATAAACTGCATAGCTCATCAACTTCTTAGGTGTTGCTGCAGATGGAAATTAGACAATACGCACAATTTACAAAACAACACAGGAATTTCATTACCGAGACGGAGTAAAGAATATATACAACTTCAACGGCTCCAAAGAATGTGCAAACAACAAATTGTTGAGAAATATGGTGAACGCTTCGCGAATCAGGTGGAGAGAAAAGTCTACAATTTTTACTTAAGAATTATAAACAGCTAGACAGCAGGTTTACGATTAACAGTTCTTTGTGGCTTTATTTTAGACCACTATTTATACAACTTGTAAACTTATCTTTCCACTTTAGTAGTCATGAAAAATCAATAAACTTTTTCTCATTTTTTATTTTCGTCTTCTTCATACTTTCATGGGGAGGTTTACCAATCGCTTTAACGAATAATTGTGTGTGAAAATTAAGAATTTGTACTACTGTATTAGTTACGAACTGTCGTTAGAACTTAGCGTTATATTGTTGTTCATTGTGAGGAATCAACGAGTCAAATAAAATAATAATGCGAATTCCACGTAAAACCTTACAGATTAAACAACCGCCTTACATATTTTCCGTTGTCAGCTTACGTCCATTATCAAGTTAGTATTAGTATGGAACTAGACAATTTCATGCAGCTAGTTCCTTGATAAGATAGATTACGTAATCCTTAGACCACCCTTCCACTCACACTTCTTTGCTAAATTATGTCAACTCTTCAGGTTGTCTTCACTTATCTTATTAGTTCTTAATTCACTGATTTATTCATTACATCTAGAATTATCACACAATTGATCTTATATGCTTCTGAGCTTCACTCGACTATTACACCACCCATCCTTTATGTTCCCTTAAGTCTAACACCAAATGACCTTTGACCTGTTCAAGCATATACATATGTATAGTTATTATTGATAACCTAGGTCATTCCAATTCTTTGCTTTCTATTATCTTTCATACTATTTCTTCCCTCAATCTTAAATTATAATGCATATTCAGTTGTATGCAACTTATGAGAAACCACGAAATGTAATGCAGTCACATGATTCTGCGTCAATATTTGTTTTGGCTTTATTTAGACCATAATTATACAAACTTACAGGATTTATAATATAAAACACTGCGTATGGCTGTTACATTTATACTTAAATAATTCATTAGATGAATGAGCATAGCAGTAGGCAATATAAAACAGTTATCGTAAACTTGTAAACCGGTTTTCCACACGATCTTCCGTAATCCTAAATTCCATAAGCTTCATACTATTCTGAAAAACAACAAATCCGTTTTGAGACAGACAATTAAACTTTGTTCTCAGTATCATATTCATTAAGTTATTCAAATAGCAAGTAACAGACTGTGCCTATAAGTCTTTTATTAACAAGTGGTGACATTCATTCATAACTTCCTAAGTAACACAACAACTGTATTACCGAGACGGAGTGAAGAGTATATAATAACTCATTTGTGAACCCTATAACAGACACGTCACAAATCAGTATTAACTAAAAAACATGGTTGTGTCACCATTCTCACAAGAAACACCGATCGTTTTATTCATGAAGATTTTGTTCCTACTTGATGTGGTGTTATACACTATTACTGCAGACGTTCAGAAAGCCGCTGGACAACACTATAAACGTCAATTGTTACTCACATATTTTTTTCTCAGATACGTTACATAATTATGTCACTTCAGTACAAAACAATGGTACCTCTAATGGATATAACTTTTTATGGCTAAATACAAACAAGTTATATAATATTCACAATTAGGTTAACGCTTGATTGCTTCTACTTACATTTTATAAACAACTACCGACATCCATGTTCACCATCACCGCAATCAAGGAGGTGAACCATATGTAAAAGATTTTACGGTTCATTTTCATGAAAACTCAATCTGTGATGTATTTTTTGACTAGAAACACGGTGAACTTTACTTGCTTGACTTTGTATTGTTACAAATAACTATATTAAGCTAACTTCAGATTTACTTACGTGGTGAGCAAGAAGTACGTCAAACTGCCAATAAATTGGAATAAAAACTATGTTACAAGCACTAGCAATACAGAAATTGATGTGTCATGCAAAAAAGCCTGTTAATAGCTGATAAATAACGACACAAAAAATCCACGACAATATGTAACGTGTGCGCGAAAATCCGTGGCTTACCCGCCAGTCCGTGCCTCGAATGTGAGCATCTCGCACTGAACTTAGCGCCATGACCTTGAAAATCCTTAAACGCTTCTGATTGGCTCGTACATAAATTAGAGTCCTACCGAATTAGCTTAAGGTAAACTAAGCTAACTTTCAGCGTGACATCAGTCAGGATTACTTTATCCATGAACTTACAAAGAGCACCGAATCGCAGGCTGAAATTTTATTGTTATCTTGAACAGGTTGGGAACTAAAAATTCCGTAAACAATAAATCATGAACAGCACAGAAGTGACACCAAGGTAACCCTGAAGCAACGCTTCAATGGTATCGTCCACTGATAAAGGTTATTGAGCACTTGAAGGTCACACTGTTGTGAAATGATTGGTGCTTCACCTCGAGATTCATAAGGTTTCACAAAAGCGGTCAAATCAAGACAACCCTTAGATTTTATTTAACTTCAGCCATATTATGTCCGATAACATTAGTTTCAGTTTGGAAAGGACAAGAGGATTGATGGCCTGTGTTAGTCCTGGCAATGGTGGTCTCTCAGTTGATCCAACTTTCTTTTGAAAGAGTCGACGGATGAAACCTCAACCACGTGCTGAGTTCATGAATTCCACTCGTCGATGATTCAATGAGAAAGTCGTTAGTCAGCTGACAAGTAATTTGTTATGGGCTTCTGAACTTTTTTGGAGTGTCCTCATAAATTCTCTGTTTTGGAAGACAAAAAAATGAGGGCATATCAAGTGAAAATTTATCACTAAGCTATTTGAAAACTGTAAGCAAGTTGCCTCTAGTTCTGCGATATGACAACGGGAATAGATTTAGCTTGACCAGTCGAGCATCATACAGAAGCTTCGCTATTCCGTGAGTCGGTTTAGTTGCTGTACTCTGAGCCTTTTCCAAAAGCTCACAGTCTTTCTTTAAGCAAGGGCTAGCCGCTTGTATGCAGTATGCAGTGGACTTGCCTATGTTAAGCTTATTTAGCAGACCAGAGACATCGAGCTCTTTAATGGTCACGCTGTCCAGTGTTTGGGTGGGGGTATTTGTATAG